TCCAAGTGCCAGTGTCACCTAAGTCTCTGATGGGTAGAAGCCTGTGAAAGTCATTTGTTAAATATGCCTAATGTAAGTTAAGCTAATCTATTTGCTTTATAATCGAAGAGCATGCGTCTTCCTAAATTCATTTTGATCAGACCTTAAAGAACCCATTACGCACTTTCAGCCTAACAATTCACTGGGGCCCAGGTGGAGCTAAGATTCAGATGAATGAAAATGACTGGGGTCACATGGTGGCTCAGTGCTGCCTCACAGTGCCATTGACCCGGGTTCGTTCCGCCCGCGGGTGACTGTCCAAGGACAAGTGTGGAGTTTGCACATTGTTGCCACATCTGTGTGGGTTTCCTCCGCATGCTCCTGTTTCCTCCCACGGTCCAAAGATGTGCAAGCTAAGTGGATTGTCATGCTAAGTTGGCCATAGTTCTAAGCGTAAGCAGGCTAAGTGGATTAGCCATGGGAAATGCAGGGTTATAGGGTAAGGGGTATAGATCTGGGTTGGTGTGGACTCGATAGGCTGAATGGCCTGCTTCCACACTGTTGGAATTCCACACCAAATTTTGCTGAATGGGCAGAATACTGTTGGCTGAGGAAATGGGATGGAGATGACGGCAATGGAAGAAGAGCTCATCATCATGTTGTTAATTGGAGTGGAGATTTAAAGGGATGAATTTCCAGCCTATGCTGAGGAATAAATGACCATGGCAGAGAGGGAGCAGTCAGAGAGAGATCGTAAAAACACAGCATGGAGTGAGGCTGGAAGAAAGGGGTCAGGATAAAATGAAGAGGCAGAAGAAGCTAGTGGAATTATTGATGCCCTGGGTTTGTTGGAAGTCTGCAGTTCTTCATACTTGAACAGAAGGGTTTGAAGCATTACATTTCATTCTTCACCGCATGCAATGATGAGACAGTATGAGCTGCTGAAGAGAGAGAGGCCAACAAGGTGCATTTAGGCACTTGGGATTGAGCATGGATCACAGGTGGAGGCAAGACTGTGGTTCAAGGAATATTTGGGAGATATGGGTGATTGTGGGCAGATTCAAAACATGCAGAATAACACTTCAGCAACATTTCTTCTTAAGATGTTCATGCTGACAAATCACTTCCATTTCCAAAAGTTTGGAGGTCTGTGCAGCAGGAAGAAAAATTTGAGTGTCACAATCTAGTTTTTAAAAACAATGCAGGTAGTATATATTGTATATATAAAAATAGATACACATAATATATTTAACACTTCAAAGTTGTGTGATTATTTATGTTTAACTTCAAACTGCAGTCTTAGAAATTTAGATACAAAGTTTATGTTGCCTTATAAATACATTCAAATTTTCACTTTTTTTCAAACTTTCTGCACAAATCCATTCCTCCCATTGAGTATCACGGTATCACCTGTGGAGGGAAAAATAAATATCTGTTTATGAAAACAATATTTCATTTGTCCATAGAATCCCTACAGTGTGGAAACAGGCCCTTCGGCCCAACAAGTCCACACCGACCCTCAGAGAATCGAACCCAGACCCATTCCCCAGACGCACCTAATCTACACATCCCTGAACACTATGGGCAATTTAGCATGGCCAATCCACCTAGCCTGCACATCTTTGGAGTGTGGGAGGAAACCAAAGCACCTGAAGGAATCCCACAATAATGTTGCTGCTGTTCACATGTTACCATTTTCACAGGCAAAGCCAGTGTTTGTGCCCACCCCAATAAGAGAGGGACTTCCAGGCTATTTCAGAAGACAGGAAAGAGCCAACTGCATCGATTTGAGTATTCCACCTTAGGTATAATAGTAGGTTGCTTCCTCTCAAGGACATCCATAAAAGGATGTATACGTTTACCTGTAACACACATAAGTGCATTTAAACTACATACATTTTAAATATGACTTTATTTCTCAAAGTCACATGAAAATTTTTATAGATAAAAAAACCCTGATGGGTCTAAACTGCCAGTGAAATATTTGGATTTATAGCACAGTTTCAGAGTTCCTTGAAAGTGGAATCACAGGTAGACAGGATAATGAAGAAGTTTGGTACGCTTGCCTTTATTGTTCAGTGCATTGAGTATAGGAGTTGGGAGGTCATGTTGCAGCCGTACATGACATTGGTTAGGCCACTTTTGGAATACTGCGTGCAATTCTGGTTTCTTTGCTATTGGAAGGATGTTGTAAAACTTGAAAGGGTTCAAAAAAGATTTATAAGGATGTTGCCAGGTTGAAGGGTTTGAGCAATAGGGAGAGACTGAATAGGCTGGGGTTATTTTCCCTGGAGTTTTGGAGGCTGAGAGGTGACCTTATAAAATCATGACAGGAATGGACAGGGTAAATAGACAAGGTCTTTTCCCCAGGGTTAGGGAGTCCAAAACTATACAGCAAAGGTTTAAGATGAGTAGGGAAAGATTTATAAGGAACCTAAGGGGCACTCTTTTTAAAACACAGAGGGTGGTGCATGTATGGAATGAGCTGCAGGGGAAGTGGTGGAGGCTGGTACAGTTACAACATTTAAAAGGCATCTGGATGGGTATGTGAATAGGAAGGGTTTAGAGCGATATGGGCCAAATGCTGGCAAATGGGACGAGATTTATTTAGGATATCTGGTCAGCATGGATGAGTTGGACAGAAGGGGCTTTTTCTGTGCTGTATATCTCTATGACTCTTTATAGCACCATTACACCACTGACTTTAAAATAATCCATATCGTGAGTTTGACTGTTTGGACTTCTACACACTGACAACTACATGTTGCAGCAAAATAACTTCAGAGATTTACAATGTTTTATTGTAAATCCACAGTTTAACATAAACACCAACTTCCACCTATATAATTTCCCTGGCCAAAAGCCAGCTCCCCCATTGGGATGAACACAGCTCATTTGTTTAAATATACTAAATAACAAACATTGCCCATGAGGGAAAGCGTGACAATAACCAAAAACAAAATAAACAAACAAAGATAAAAACAAAGATGATCTAAATCAAAATGTTGTTTGAAGGAGTGTTAATGCAACTTAAGACACCACAAGTTCAACCCATCCTGAAAGGCTTCAAGGGTAATGTGGAAGAACTCAGCTCTTAAAGGGACCAGCATTTCTAACACTAACATTAAGTATGACTTTTTCTTTGGCCCAGCAGTAGCATTCCTTCCTCTGAGTCAGAAAGTTGTGGTCTCAAGGTCCATTGCAGACATGTGAGCATAACATCCAGACCAACACTGCAATATTATCCTGCTAAACTGAGTGCTATTCAAGATTTCATCTTTTAGATGACATCTCAGAATCAAGGGCAGGTCTGCCTTCTCAAGTGGGCCTATAAAATCCAATGGCTCTATTTGAAGAGCTGGCAAATTATTCTAATGTTCTTTCTATATTTAGCCCAACGCTGACCTCACTAAAACAGATGACTGGTCATCATCTGCTGTGTGGAATGGGATGGCTCAGTTTCCCTATGCTATATTAGTGAGTACCCTCAAAGTCTGGTACAAGAGTGCAGAGGGAACTCTATTGCTTCAAAATCTACAACATACTGATCTAATTTTATATGAAGAGCAAGGTAATGGGAACCATACAGTTGGTAGGACCATGATTAGTGTTGCATATCTGTGCATTTACGCTTTCTCAAGAAATTGAATAAATTACACCAAGGCAGAAGTGGTACAAATCAGTAACAAGTGATATGTGAAGTCAAGCTTAATAGCATCATTTTGCAGAACATGGGAAGGTGAGGTGGGTTGAGCAGTTCACAAATCATAGAATCCCTACAGTGTGGAAGCAGGTCATTCGGCTCATCAAGCCCACACTGACTGTCTGAACAGCATCCCACTCAGACCCACCCAATCCCTGTAACCTTGCATTTCCCATGGCTAATTGACCTAGCCTGCACATTCCTGGACACTACGGGGTAATTTAACGTGGCCAATCCACCTAACTTGCACATCTTTGGACTGTGGGAGGAAACCCGTGCAGACACGGGGAGAATGTGCAAACTCCACACAGTCGCCCGAGGGTGGAATTGAACCTGGGTCCCTCACACTGTGAGGTACCACTGAGCCACTGTGTTGCCCAAATCCTTCAATATACATTTCACACCGAGGTTTCTACAAATATTTACTTCTTCCCTTGAGCCAACCTTCCTCTGCCTTGGGCTTGGGAAATTCCCTGAGCACAAGAGCAGTGAAAAGGAATGGTAACACAGATTGATTAACTTACAGCCTTTTAGCACTACCCTGGGATTGGTAAGGTCCTCCAAGATGGTAACTTGTGTAACTGAAGTGAGAAGAACAGACTTTAAGATGGCCTCTTACTGTGCATACCTGATTTGAATAGATTTGTTGCATTTTTGCAACTCACAATACAAGGTAACCCATATTCACGTGCAACTACAGCACCTGTTGAGAACAGAGAGCATATAAATAGTTAGATGCGGAAGTAATCTTATGTATCCTTTAGCTCCTTTTCATCATTGTAAAGTAACGCATTGAACATTCATGATCTTCCTTTGCATTCTCATCAGGTAAAAAGTCAGTGTAAAAATATATAAACTCACTGATCAAAAGTAGTAAACTTCCAATCCAGTACTAAAAGGTAACAAACTTTAACCTCAACATACAAGTGTACAGGGTTTCAAACAATCATCGGCTTTGAAATGAGGAGAATTTTTGTCTTTTAGGATTTCAATTAAAGATGGCCTGTGCCACCAGAGATAACACGTCAGATTATCAAACATGTACTTTAAAAACTGTTGATATTTCTAAGGTTTTGGAGTAGATCTGTAGCTCGGGTTGTGGGTGTTGAGGTTGGTTGGCTCACCGAGCTGGTTTGTTGTTTTGCAGACGTTTTGTTACTGTGCTTGGTAACATTCTCAGTGCAGCCTCTGATGAAGCGTCGGTGTGTTTTCCTGCCTGGTT